TCCAGTTGTCATGGAAGCCGCAATATTAGTCAACTCATTCCAAAGCTCTTTCTTGCGATCCTCTAACGGGGTGACATACACAGTTGACAGGTGCCATACTTTTCCATCTTCAGTGGTTATCTGAGAATGTATAAATTGTAAGTGACATTTCAATATGAACTTGCAGCTTCTTAGTTTTCCAACCCATGGCGATGCCACTCGCAAGACCTCTAGCTTCAAAGAAATCAAAGCCATTATATAGCCCAATCTAGAGAAGATACAATTGAGTTTTTTAGGGTCAGAGTGGGTTTCCATAATGACCAACACATTAGGTTTCTTTGCTTGGATGTAGGTATTACAAACCCGAAAGAAAGCCTTATTACTTGTGCCACGACAATTCCAGAAAAAACAAGAAATATTTTGGTTGTTCATAAAACAATAGGGAAAGAAACAAGAGCCCTTAATAATTGCTTGACACCTCTGGAATCTCAGCATTCCCATTCATATCCATATCATCCTTCTTTTCTAGGGAAACAACAAAATTATCTATTTTCCATATTTTTTTAGAACAAAGTCTGGAGAAGAATAAATATAATCCCGAGGTTGGCCATCTGTAGCACCTTGAGCACGAATCCCTTTTGGACCAAGTTGTTCCAAGTTAGATTTTTGACCGTGAAAAGCTACATTATGATGGTTGTTAATCATGACCGATGAGGATTAACCTAAGCCGCTCTAAGGATTTCATCCATTGACTCATCCTCCAAGAGGCGTTCAAGATTATCCTTGGTTTTTTCCCGTTCTTACTCCATAACCCTACCCTTGCTGATTACTTTAGTAGAAATTTCCCAATGTTTGGCAAATGGTTTTTCTTTCGTGTTTTTTATGGCCCTGCACTTTTTGCGAACAAGAGAGTGTTACCCTTCAGGAGTCATGCCTTGCTCCAAATGCTCCTTACTTGGTAGAGTATTGCTGTTGGGAAGAGACATATCTTCAATCAGCCCTGAGTTTTGAATGTTGGCTTGTGGAGGCTTTACACTCGTGACATTTAAAATGCGAGGCTCAACATAAGAAGACTCTTAAAGAAGGGCTTGGAATCTAGAGTCTTTGTTGTTGGACATGTCTTTGTTTCTTTTGTCAGTCGCCACATTTTGACAATCGTCCATGGACTTGTGAGGTTCCTTTGTTCACCTTCTCGATTTTCTGCATAATTTCTTCCAATAAGGACATCTCTGTCTCCGCTATGTTTGATGTTTCCGACCCCCACTTGGACTGCACAACCTTTTGTGGTGTGACCATGTTTCCCACATTGAATACATAACATGTGCAGCCCTTCATACTCAACCTTGAAATTCCTACCTTTTATGACAAACATAGCTATAAGGGGTTTAGTGAGGTCAACTTGGATACAAGCGAGCATATTTCCCCCTTTCTCGAGATAACCTATTTTTATCGACCTTGATGGCTTTTCCTATCATGTTACCAATAAATATGAGTACTCTTTGATCATGGTACTCAATAGGAAGATATGAAATTCTCACCCATACAGCAAGTTGCTTCACATTATCGTTTGAGGGCCAGAAATTGGGATTCTATTCTCACACTGTAAGGTAGTGGTCATAAATCTACTATGGACCTTCAAGAAGCACATTAGCTTGATCTTTTGGACTAGTAAATGTGACAAGGTAGAATTCTTATCCAAGGTCAATGATGTTAAGACCTCCGTTTTGGCCCACATTAGTTAAAGTTGATTTTCCAATGCCTTAAGCCCAATACTTCTGCCAAGTATCTTTATGATGACCCCTTCTTCTCACGGTTTGGCTATTCATCGTTCTTCCAAATCAGAAAGTATAAAGTTAGGGAATTCATATCCTCCTATTCATTTTTCTTCAACACGAGTACCAGAAGCGGTCTCATAAAGTTCTTGCATATCAATTTCTGCTTCTTCATTGAGCCCTTTGTTCCCGATTTTTCCCCAGTCATGATATTTCGGTAGGAATTTTTTTCAGGTAGGGCAGTTCTAGGAGGAGGGGAATCCTTTTCGGCACTTGAGATGTTGGATTCTTCCATGTAATTATTGTTAGAGGGACTACTTCTCAAGGTTTCCTCCTCTTGAATATTAGCGTTTGCGAGAGAAAACTCTAACTATGGCGTATCCATAAAACCCGATGATTGAAGAAAGAAAGATGAATGTGAGACGAGAAGCTCATAGTGCAGAAATGTCATCGTCTTCCTCAGTGCCCCTACCAATCAGATCTTAACCCTAAAGTTAAGAGTTTAAACCAAAATTGTCGATAAACACTGTGGAAGATGATGAACCCCCTATAGTTTAATATGATTGAACGTGTCTCGTCGTGTGATACATGATGATACGCCAAACCGCCAGCCCCTGCATCGGGCCGGAAACGCTGAAAATCGCAATTGCCATCCCAATCACTTCTTTTCTTAAACGCCGATATTTAAACCCTAGCTTAGCTTTACTAACTAGATATCATTATATTATTGTATGGAGCTTTTCGTCCATTTCATTAGAATAATACTCCCTCTGTCCCTTTTAAGTGTTATTTTTTAATTTTTTATACATATCAAGAAAGTTAATCAATATTGTTACTTTTTATATAATAAATTTTCTTTTATCTATAATACTCTTAATTATTTATTACATTCATTTTGCATTTTTTTCTCTTTGTAATAATTATCTAGGGGTAATTTTGACAAAAATGCATTAGTACTATCTTGAATTTTGCAAGTGACAATTAAAAAGAAACAAAAAATTATTCTAAAAGTGGCACTTAAAAAGGAACAGATGGAGTAATACTTAAACACTTTACATACTTCTAAGATTTAATTATTTTAGAATATTTTTTTTAAGAATTAAAAAAATATTAAATTAAATTTTTTAATTGGCAGGGGAGTACAAAATACAAATTAGGTCAAATTGTGTGTAATCTAAACTTAATCTTAAGATTTATTCTAGTCAATTTTGTGAGTGCTAACTAAAAATTCGATCGGATTTTGAATGATGTCAAATAAGGAACAAGGTAGTATATCGTAGCAATTTTGTATATTTGACGATATCAATCTACATTTAGATGCTCATTTGTACCCTTAGCCTTAGAATGCATGAAAAGAGTCTTTGAACATGTTTGATAGGTCTTCGACATGTCATACACATCAAAAATCATGTTTGTGTGTTAACATAACTGCACAGGCCGACCTGTACGTGATTAGGTCAACCTATGGAAGCCTTTGCTTCAGTACAGTTTGGCACATCCATATTTCAGGTCGGCTCCCACGCTCCAAGAGCGAAGCCTATAGGCTCTATCTATAGGTCGCCTCTCAGGTCGCCGTACATGCCGGACTGAACACTTTCATAGGCCGACCTATGAAACTTAAAACTTGAAAAACTCTTTCTGCATCTTATTTTTCTTGCATCTTCCTTGCCTTTCTTTCACACACATAAATATACTCATACATGCATCTTCTTCTAGGTAAGGTTCCTAGTGAATAAAACCTAAACGAAACCAGATTCTAAAGTTGCCCATCATCTTCATGCATTCTTCTATGCATACACAAAATTGAATTACACATAATCATTTTTCAATTGGGTGACAATCTAGATTAAAGTTGATAACGTCCAATTAGATTTGGTGTAACCGAGAATATTAGGTTGGGAACTTTATGTGTTTCAAATAAGGAAACCAAGGTGGAGTTTTCCTTGAAGGTTTTGGATAAGATCACGTCAATACAGATTCCACTGAGTGAAGGCCTTGGGACAAGGTGGTTTCCTTACAAGGGAGTAGTGCGAGACGGTGAATTGTGTTCAAGAATCTTGGGGTTTCAACAAGTTGTGTGCTCGAGATAATCGAAAGATTGTAGCCGCATTTGTTGGTCTCTTGATCAAGGGTTGGAGGTGGAAGAATCAACACAAAACAATAAGATTTTTGGGGTTTGCATTCTTCATCTCTTGTATAAACGATTTTGCAAAGAAAATGTTAATAGCAATATCTCAATTCGATTTTGAATTGAGGACGGACGTACCCATAACGAGGCCGATTAGGGAGCTGCCTAAACAAATTTTGGTCTCTCTTTTTATCTCTTTATCACTTTTATTGTTGATTTCGCAATTTATCGAGCTCATCCTTATTTGATCAATTCGATTGGAAATTGTTTTCTATTATCTTTTAAAAGTGTTGTTGTTGATATAATCGTAATCACTTTGATTGTAATTGACTTTTAACATTAATAAAACAAATAAATTTCCAATTACTATCGATTGCACACCAAGTGTTCGATAAATTGTTTGTGCATATTTAAATTGTATTTTGGTTCATTGTATATACGAGTTACGATTATTATTGTATTTAATTGATTCGTAGTTTGATCGTTGTTGAACATTTACTTCATTGTCATTCCGTTTGGTTTGCAATACATATATTGTTTTTCGATAATAGGTTTGGTTAGACGATTCGATCCGGGTCGTTTTTCCGCTGTGCCATATTTTTTAAAACAAATTTTTATCAAAAGTTTTGATTGTAAAATTTATGATCTACTCACCCCCTCTAAATCAAAGTCTATTGTCTAACAAATTTTCAGACTGAAATTCAATCATAAATTTAGTAAAATCGAATGACATGTGACTTAAATAAGGACAAAACTATAGAGATACAATATTAGATTGATCCGACTAGTCACCATTACAATAATATTTTAAAAAAAAATATTTTTCTTTAAATTAAGTTGGTATGGGACGAGCAATTTGAGAAATAACCTAAACATTTTCCTATTTTTACTAGGTCCATATCTTATCTTTAAAATTGTCTTATATTTCTTTTAGACCAGGCAAACCATATCTTATCTTACATTTAGACTAATAGTATGAGTTACAAGATGGACCTTGAATTGGAATTACTAAACAATAATTTTGAGTTTTTTTAAGTTTTTTATTTTATCTTACATTTATCAATATTATTTATATTTTAAGCTTTTTTAATTAAATAACTGATAAATAAGTAGTTAAGAAATTACCTAACAGCAATTTTCTTGGAATCTCTGACAAGTAGATGAGTAGTTCCATCAATGAATGCCACAAAGAATGTCATAACAATATCAATGGCAAAGAAAAGATCAACAATATTATCCACAATATAGAGTTCCCTATTTAAAGAATGCATGAAAGCCACTTCAAATGGATAAACCCATGCAGTATATGCTACCAAAACAACCATAAAACTCTCCCACCACCTGCACATAATCATCCAAAATTTTTTGAGAGAAACAAGTTTGAAAACTGAACTTGGTTTCAAACATATGTGTACCTGTATCTAGAATCCATTGGTGAAATGATCCACTTTGAGTAAACTTGATTCTCTTTAGGAACACCAAGTGGTGGAAGAATGAGTTTCGAAACATTGGTTAGATTGAATGATGAAGACGATGTATAATCTTGTTTAACATCATCATGTGAACTGATATTGATTTCCATTGAAGGATGGTTATGGAGTGAATAAAGAAGTTTGAGAATAGATTCTCATATAATGAAGAAAAGAAAGAAAGGGCGTGATGATGATATATTGATATTTCATGCAGCATTAATGAGAGATGTAATATAGTGACCCAATGAAATGTGGTTTTGTTTGAATATATATAGCAAGTAGATTAGACTCAGGTCAATAGCCATGGTAGGGTTCAGTTTTGCTTCCCCACCAACTAGTGATACCTGCAAAAAAATGTATCTATATATGGAATGTGTGAATGGGGCATAGACATGGTTTCTCTGTCATATAATTGTAAGTTGCAGCATCATTTTCTGATGTTAATTACATGCATTATTTGGTCGTTTATAAGCACGTAAATGAAAGAAACTTGTACAAAGTGTGTTTTGGCATGATATAAGCAATAGTGTAAGAAGTTAAAGGATTGATTTCTCTCTTTGTTTTTGTAGCTTTTGAATTTTTTCAGTTGTGAGAAACACATAACATGTGAACAGCGTGGTATTGTTGGCAATTTTGATACTAAGTTATTAATACTAATTAATCTTTGTGTGCTAGAGATTATATAAGTCGTAAATTCTCATCTCTAAGTATATGTGGATGATATATCTTGATTTTGGCTGAGGCCTTGATTGAAAGATTTTAGATTATTTGTGTCTTCGAGCGTTGGTATGAATGTTGTGTCACGTTCTTCTATCTCTCTTTGAAAATGTATGTCAAATTTTGGAAGGTTATTGTTAAGATCCGGTGAAAGTTTCTTTGGAGGAGGGGATGTTAAGGGAGAGTAAAAAAAAATTTTGATTAGATGGACTGATGTGTGTAAAGAGTAAAAAATTTCTTTGATTAGATTGACTGATGTGTGTAAACTTAAGCAAAAATGTGTGTTGGGTTTTCGTAATTTATGTATAGTAGGGATGACAATGGCCAGAGTTTAGGCAGAGTACTATAGTACTTGATAGAATTAGAGTTTGGTCTAACTCAACCCTACAAAACTGGTTGGTAAGGTGATGATGTCATTTTATATAAACTATTTCAATGCTCTATCTTTAGTCAATGTGAAATTTTAGGATTTTCCTAACACACCCCCTCACGCCTAACACTCTTTTTGGGCTTGGTGCGTGGATTTAAACGGTGGGTTGCCCAAGGTTCGATCGATAGGCTCTAATATCATCTGAAGAATGTGTGGTAGGGCTTAACTCAACCCTACAAAATCAGTAACATGATCACATGCACCAGAATCAAGGACCCAATGTCGAATAGGAGATGATTGAGAGAGGCAAACAGATGAATTATTAGTGTGTGCTAGCGGAGCAGTAGAATCTGAGTTCTGATAATTCTGATACCACCATAGGAAATCATCGTAGTTTGGCGTAAAGTTCTGAGGAGTAGCCATGAGTATCTGAAGAGAGAAAATATCACGCGATCAGTCGTCGGACGTGCTATCACGTGCAGTTCAAGTGGCGCGTGTGGGTGCGTGTCGAGGTTTCTTCCGGTGAAAAAGCTTGTCGAAAGGTCGCCAAAAATAGCAGCGACGGCGGCGGATGGCAACGGAAATGCGGTTATGACCGGAGAATATTGAAAACTGATGGTTGGGTCGACTTTCCTAATCTTCGTCGGAAGTTTTGCCGGAACAGTAACGGCGGCAGGGTGGTCACCGGAGAATTTTAAATAGTGAGAGGCAAACCGGAGTGACAACACGGTTTGAAAAAAAAATTCTCACCGGAAGACAGTGGGTCAACTGGGTAAAGCACGACGAACATAGAATTGCCTCTTAGCAGACTCTAGATACCATATTGAAATACAAGAGACTAAGAGACATATGAATAAACCGTGTGTTTTGAAAAGTATTACGGAGACATTATTATATATAGAGAGATTACGACTAATTACATAATATAGTCGATGTGGGACTATTCTATATATAAATATTCTTAACACTATATTTACAAGGGCGTAATTATCTTATTGTGTATGTAGATGATATTGCCATAACTGGTAGTGATCAACAGGAAATACTCTAGTTAAAATAACATTTCTCGAATCAATTTCAGACAAAATATCTTGGTAAACTCCGTTATTTCTTGGGTATTGAGGTAACCCAATCTAAAGATGGTTTGGTGATTTCTCAGCGAAAATATGCTATGAATATTTTGGAAGAAACGAGTTTGTTGAATGCTAAGCCAGTTGATACTCCTATGGATCCAAGTGTCGAACTACTACACAATTAAGGGGAGTCTCTATTTAACTCAGGAAGGTATAAAAGATTGGTTAGAAAGTTGAATTATCTCACAGTCACTCGTTCGGACATTTCTTTTGCAGTCAATGTTGTAAGCCAGTTCTTAAATTCTCCCTGTCAGGAACACATTGATGATGTTCTAGAAAAAGGTCTAGTATATGAAAATAAAGTACATACTTAGATAGTTGATACTCATATGCTAATTAGGCAGGGTCACCCATTGATAGATGATCTACTTCTGGATATTGTGTACTTGTTGGAGGAAACCTATATCCTGGAAGAGTAAGAAACAAAATGTTGTTGCAAGATCAAGAGTCGAGGCAGAGTATAAGGTCATGGCAATGGCAACATGTGAACTTATTTGGTTAAAACAGTTGCTCAAGGAACTTCAAATTGAAGAAGCAAGAATAATGACACTTATTTGTGATAATCAAGCTGCATTGCACATTTCTTCAAATCCAATCTTTCATGAGAGGACCAAACATATTGAGATAGACTGTCACTTTGTCAGAGAGAATATCGAGTCAGGTGACGTTCTCACAAGTTTTGTCAATTCTAATGATCAATTGGCGGACGTGTTTACAAAATCTCTGTGAAGTCCCAGAACTAATTATATATGTAACAAGCTTGGTGCATTTGACTTATATGCTCAAGCTTGGGGGGGAGTGTTGATATTTGTAAATATAGTGTTAAGAATATTTGTATATAGAATAGTCTCACATAGACTATATCATGTAATTAGTTGTAATCTCTCTCTATATAATAATGTCTCCATGGTGCTTTTCAAAATACACAGTTTATTCATATGTCTCTTAGTCTCTTGTATTTCAACAGTACCCATCCCCATACCTGCAAATTCAAAAATTCCTCAAACCCGAGCCCATACCTATTTGAGCAGCAAAGTTAGCACCCGTGCCCGTGCCCTATGGGTATGTAAGTACTCATACCCGTACCCGTTACCCGCATTCCTATTAAAAATAAATATATCAATTATAAAATATCATATCATTTTATGTTTTTAAAAATATTAAAAAGTTTTCAAAATATTTATTGTTGAAATAAACGTAGACTTATATAAAATACGTAATGCTTTAACATTGGTAAAAAAAACTAAATTGATAAATATACATATTTAATAATAATATAAATTAAAATATATAAATATAAATTAAAATACATAAATATATATTGTGCGGGTATGGGGCGGGGTGGGTACCAAGGTGTCCATACCCGCATCCATACCCGTTTATTTTTGTAGGTAATTACCTAAGTGATATTGAGTATATCAAAAGAAAGTATTGAATATCGTATCCACGAAGACCGAAGTGATATTACTAACGTTAAGACAATTGTTATCGGTTTTAAGTGAAGTTTGTAAATTGGTTTGCTTTTAAAGTAAGGGAATATAAAATTGAAACTTGTTAAACTAAAGTTTAAAGGATAGAAAGCTTGTCATAATTGAAATTCCACTACCGTGCACGTATGATTTTGGTTGATACTTCTTTATAGAAACTTGTTTTTCATCTTAACTTCATGAGTTCACTCACAGCATCATATATGTCTATATGCTTGTTGAGATTTCAATTGATTTAGTTTAACCGATGATTTCTCAATCAATTAAACTAAATAATAGCATTAATAACCGAATATTGTTTATGAAAGCTAAATCCTTAGTTCTATGTCTAGAACGAAGCGTTTAACCGATTATAATCTTTAACTTTAATACGAATTTGTTTTTTAATCACAATTCGTATTCATAGGTTTAGAATGACAAAACAAAGATTTAATCGATAATCACGAATAACATAATTTCATTAAAGAATGAATTAATGATAACACATACGATTATGGTAGTCTTCTTCCAATCCTAACAAGAGAAGAGTTAGTTATCCATTGTCATGGTATCTTGCACAAAAAGAAAGAATTGGAGATGAATTTGCATTTAGGATGATCTCTCGATTCTTGATGCGAACCCAACTTCATTCTTTCCACTCTCTTCTCTTTACTAAAATTATATTATAATATATATTACAAAGTAATATTCTAATGTGGTGATCTCCACTGCTTCTGGTGCACTCCTTTTATACTGGTTAAGATGAGGGACTTTCGTTATGCGAAGCTTTGGTCGCTATGCAAAGTCAGCTTGCTTAACCTTAAAGAATTTTAAATTGCCCATGGAAAATCGCCATACTTCGCTATGCAAAGTAAAGTTCGCGTAGCGAACTTTTCTCGCTTCTGCTCACTTCAAGCGAAACTAGGTCTGTTTGATTATGTTTGATTCTGTTTTTTCTCGCTTCTCTTTGCGTCGCGACCTTCGTGTAGCAAAGCATTGGCTCGTGATGCGAAATTTCTTCACTTCCTCTCGTTTCTCTCGCTTCAAACGAACTTTGGTGCTTTTGATTCTGTTTTTTTCTATTGTTGCTCGCTTCAGCTTCGCGTAGCGAAGTTTTTGCTCGCTATGCGAAAGTTGCAGGGCATGTATTTTTCTTGCTTTTAACTTATGCTTTCCTTTGTTAATTCCTGCAAAAATATAACCATTCAAAAGTAACATTATTTTGGATCATGGTTAGTTAAGTTTCATCCTTAATAGTTAATGGAAGCAAGCATTTTATTCAGTTTACGCCAAAGTTTTTTCAACTATTGGACTTCCATCAAATTATCCCCAACTTAGTTTCTTGGTTGCCCTCAATCAAGAGCATGAGCTTTTCAAAAATGTTTTCAGCATCTTTAATCAAGTATTTGAAATAACTATTTTGA